CTCTCTCTCTCTCTCTCTCTCTCTCTCTCTCTCTCTCTCTCTCTCTCCCTCCCTCCCTCCCTCCCTCCCTCTCTCCCTCCCTTCCTCTCTCCTCTCTTACTGTCTCTGTTCTGACTGTGAATTTGTCCCAAGCTACAGTGAGGACGAGCATCAGCCCACACAGAGAGAGCCCTGCTCTCTAGGAATGTAGCCCGCAACTAGGGGAGCTGCAGGATGCCCAGGTCTCAGACCTTCTTAGCCTTTTACTTCACAACTCACGCTTTGATATTCATCATGCAAACTGTGTGGTTGCCTGCTGCTCTGAATGCAATGCTATTCCAGGGAGCAATTAGGGATGCCAAGAATACAGAACAAGCAGAGAAGAAAACAGTTGGAAGGTATTTCTAACTTTCGGTTTGACTCTACCCACTCTGCCCTCTCATTAACAGGAATAAACAAACACTCTGAATAATGAATAATAACTCTGACTGCACGACTTCTGTGATAACACTGCCATGTAATCTTTAATGGGGCTGAGCCAGCACCCAGGCTAGGATGCATCCCATCCTGGATAAAAGAGTTTAAAAATTAAACCCTAACAGTTTCTTCCCACCCCTGCCGGGTCTTACCTTAACAAAAACTGCAGAGCTGGAACAAGAGCTGCTAAGAACACTGCTTCAATCGGGACTTTGCAAGAATGCAAAAGCGTTGTACCCTTATTTATCTGTGCTTGTTTCTGAGAAATAATGGCCCGTCCTGGGAATTTTCTTTCCGCTCTCAGCTCTCTGACAGAGAACTTACTTATGAAACGCAAGAACAGGAGTCTCTCTGATAGGTTCTCTAAACTGAAATTGAAACTACAAGTTCAGATTGTCCACTTAAAGGGGATTTCCAACAGTGGAAGGCTTGGGTGTCACTGAACTGATTTTCCAGAGGTTGCCCATAATCTGAAAGAGAATGTTGACATGGTTTTGTAATTATTTCAAGCAGTTTATTTTGTTTCTTTTGAACTAGGGTGATCATTTCTCTGGTTTTGAATCACATTTGATTTGAAGGGAAACCTCATATACTATTTAAGGACTAATTTCTTACAATTGTATCAGCAGCTACTTAGGATAAAACTTATTTTGTTGGTAGTAGGTTAAGCAAGGAACTCAGGGTGTCTTTTTTGTGGGTTCTTGAATCCCATATATAAAAGAACTTAAAACAGACTTAGGAGGAAAACTGAGGACAAATTTATCTGAATTGAAGAGAGAAAAGCAACAGAGCAGACAAACTTTAGACCTCAGCAAGAAACCAGAAGGGAGAAAGGGCAAGGAAAGGAGAGCTAATCATGCTTGCTGAGTTAGAGAACATGAAAGTCTGTGATCATCCACTTGTGAGTGGGAATGTTTCTCCTGACAGACTGAGGAAGCTCAGTGCTTCAGGGCAGCAGGCTGAGGACTGATATCCTATAAGGGAGAATAGAAAGAGGGAAAAGAAAAAGTTATCATCTCTAACTATAGATCTATTAGCGTCTACATAGGAGAGGGGTTTCTGGAGTATACTACTACTTATCTCATTAAGGGAATAGTCACTCCATACATCTGAATGCATCCCCAAGCATAACAAGTGTTTGAAGTGACAACTTTTTGAGATTCATTTTCCTGCCCAGATGATTCATAGGCTCATTTAGGTGAACTCTTAAGAGAAGGAACAGCAATGTGTCTTTGTAATCTTATACCATATGGTGTCCTTTGGAATGTCGGCTAATGATATGGCCCAAGTCCAATTCTTCTGGGCAAAACTCAAGCAACAGAGTGGGTTAAAATAATTTTTAAAAATAGGTCAGTAGAATATCTATGCATTTATCCTTCCCTTAGTGGATCTTCAACAAAGTTTTTCTACCTCCACCTTTCTAGAATCCAGGCCAAAATATCAGTATGTTAACAAGTCCTGGAGATGGCACCACTGTCACTATTGAGACAAGGAAACTCAGTTAAATGCTGAATGAATACAGAGTTCTGAGATCTGGTCATATGCAGCTAACAGGGATCAGTTATGTAGAAACTGAATGCACCTGTTCATTGATTATTTGTGGACTTTGTTCTGAAGCTCCCTGATGCACCTGTTCATTGATTATTTTCAGACTTTGTTGTGAAGCTCTCTGATGTCTAACTCTCCAAAAGGTAAGCATACTCTCTTTAGATTACATTTACCTCTAAGCTTGACAGAGACAGTCTTTGCTTTATGATCCAGAGACAGCAGGATCTGGTAAGTCAAGCAGGGAAGCTTGTCCACCAAACACACGGATACCACACGGAGCTGCCAGAACAGTACCACCTTGCATTCTCATTATGGTAAAAACTTGAGTTTCCCCAGAACCCCGAAACAACAGAAAATAAGTTACCTATTCTAGGTGCCCTTTCTCCAGCTGCCTCTTAGAATCAGAAATCAAGTCGAGATCCAGACTAAGTTGCTGAGGATGGAGGGAGGGAGAGGAAGTGAATTGTGAATTTACCTGCTCCTGCTCCCTGTAGCTGGGCTCTAAGCATAGTCTCAGCTGCCTCTCACATGTGATCGGCTTTCTTCCTTTTGCACGTGTGTATCCCTTTTACATAAGCTCAGAACAGTAACATCCTTCTTCAAAATTGATACTGGAAGCAAGGTCATTCAAAACAGTGTCTGAGATTCAGCAGAGGTGACTCTAAAGCATTAGGTGTGGAATTGGGAGGCGGTCAGGTCAGAAGAGCCAATACTACTGTATTATCCACTCTGATAACACAGGCAGCCCCTTTCTATAGAAGTGTAAGCAACTGGGCCTGTTCCAAAAGGCTTAATGCCTTCAGATAGGCGGAGTAAAGTGCAGAGTAAAGGCATGGGTCAAAGTTACTGTATCCAGATAACAGGTAAAGTAGGACTGTGCCAGAGAAGAGCACGCTGTGTTCCTGCATCTTTGACTTTATTGTGAGTATCGCCTATACTGGTGACTTTGGGTAATATAGCCATGATCACAATACTAACTGTATTGATCCATGAGCATTGGATGGCCTTCCATTCTAGTGTCTTCTTTGGTTGGCTGGTTGGTTGGTTGGTTGGTTGGTTGGTTGATTGGTTGGTTGATTTGGTTTGGTTTGGTTTGGTTTGGTTTGGTTTGGTTTGGTTTGGTTTGGTTTTATTATATCAGTTTTTTTTTTTTTTCAGTGAGATTCCTTTACCAGACTTTTTTTCCATGGACTCGATCACTTCTCAAGACAGAGTAATCTCTGACTTCAGCATGCAGTCTCAGAGTACCTGGCCTCAGAAGAAAAGGCAGGTCAAAGACTGGTCTCGTTTTCTAGACCAGTGGTGTCTTGAGTGTATGCAGAGGCAAACTAAGAAGCTGTCAGACTGCAGGCTGAGTTCTGCAGCATCAGGCCTGTCTCTGTCGTCAGGAGTGTAGCCCTTGGCTTGAGGACAGTGACTCAACCTGAGACAGAGTTGGCAGAGCACTGCATGCAACCACTACTTCCAAATAGAAGACTCCAAAACTCACATGCAAGTGGGCACAGGGCTTCCACTGATGGTCTGGAAAGCAGCTTCTTCTTAAGATCTTCACTGTCCCCTCTGAGGGAGCCCATGGGCTTTCGGTCCTCTGCTCTCCCCCTTCCTCCTGGAGATGCTCTCCCCTATGCCCTATTCTTTCACCCTTCTTTGTCTTGCTGTGCTTTTCAGAGCAAAAAAACATCCTCTAATGAGACTTCGGTGTCACTTTTCTACTGCTTACATTTCTTCCAGTATGTATAACTTCTGTCACCCTTCCCATGTGCCTACAACTGTGTCAAGAGTATAGCACTCTTTATCAAGGATGTTGGGTCATGTTTTAAAATAAAGAACTACTGCTTTTGCCTTTCTATGCTGTCTTTCCAGCAGCTATTTCATGTCAGGCAATGGAGATGCTGTACGAGAATAGCAATAATTGAAAATAGTACCCTGACTTTGGAAGCCCTATGCAGGACAGGGTACAGCTGACAGTGATGGTTCCAAAGCTTTGGCCAAGTTCATAGCCAGCAACACTCTTCATGCCATGGGGATTTGCTGAACTATGAACTACAGAAGTTCCCAGTGGATGAGTATATCTAAAAACAATCTTCAAAAGTACCCTGGAGTTTGGAGCCATGGCTCAGTAGGTGAAGTGTTTGCTGTGTAATCTTGAGGACCTGAGTTTGAATCCCCAGAACCCACATAAAAGCGACCTGCTGTAGTGTGTGTGCATCTGTAACCCCAGCTCTCTTAATGCAAAACTAGGAATAGGATAGGACAATTCTCAGAAAATTGTGGGGCCACTGACACTGTTTCTTATGCAATAGAAAATAATGAAAGAGGGACCCTCCCTTCAACAAAGTGAAAAGCAACCAGTCCCACATGAGTGTAGCACATGTGTGGCTACATCTTACATAATGAGCATGCGTACACACACAGGGGAGAGGGGGAAAGAGAGAGAGACATAGATACATAGAGACAAAGAGAGATAGTAACAGAGAGAGTCTGAGAGATCAAACACATATACAAGATAGAAAAGAAAACCGCCACAGGGATAAGTGGCTTAATTGTTGTTGAACTTTAGTTTTGTAGCTGGCTGTCTCTTTATGTTTTTTTTTTTAATTTGCTACTTGAAAAAGGCATCTGAATTCTTGGAAATGCCCAAGTTACATCAGAGGCTCATAGCTTTCGGTTTCCAGACTTATGTTTCAGGAAACGCCTTTACAAAGAGCTATGCTCTGACTCACTTTCCTGCTGGGAGAACACTCCTGCCAAGCTGTCTGAAAACACAACCCCGGGAAGCAGGAAGCATGCTTGGTTTGGAAAGCCAAACCTCTTGGGTCAGATCCCAGAACCACCCTCTCTTATCATGTAGTGCTTGTTTGTTTAACAGCTTTGTAGGGTCAGACTACATGTAGAATGTAGATAGGCCCGCTGCCAGGGCTCCTCATAAACGCTAATCACCTTTTGAACTGTTTTCAATTTATTCTCTGTGAGAAACACAGCGACCTTTAACACATACATACATACACTGAATAATTATATCACTTGCTTAACATAAAACACTTCCTATTGCCCAGCATAAAAGCCAGCCTGCAGTATCTTTCTTACACAGTCTGGCCCCTGCTGCCCTTTTCTAACCTCAGTCTATCTCCCAAGTGACCACAGACCTGAATTCAGAATCAACATTCAAAACAGGTCCTCAACCTAGAGCTTCACACAAAACCCTTCTGCCTAGAACTCTTTTTTATCATGAGTTATCTGAGTACATTCTACTTCTTTAGATGTTGTTTTAATTCTACATCCCTCCGGAAAGTATTTCTGTTCAAATAGGGTCTCCCCTCTCTACCTACTCATGATATGATCTCCTGTTCCCTTACAGGGCTTAGCAGAAATTGAAATATTCTGCATGACTATTTAATGTCTTCTTTCTAAAAAGAAACAAAGCAGCACAAGAATCATGACTTTTCTGATTGTGGCGACATACCGGCTAACTCCATGTCTAGTCCATGTCAGTGCCCAATACATACTCGTTGAATGAACAGATGCACTCATGTTAGAAAGTGACACTTTATTGTCTCTTTTTGCACAGGAAATTGGCTCTTCCCACCTGAACTTTCAATACAAGTTCCCTCCCACAATTCTGGAAGCATGACTTGCAGGATGGGAGATCTCATTGTGATGACATGTGAGCCCTTGTTGTGGTCATTAGCAGGGTACAACATCTTCCCACTGTGTTAGATTTTGGTCCAGGGATTCTCCAACTAAAAAGAAACCCATGACTCAAAAAGAAAAGTACATTG